CAACTTGGAAGGGCTTCTTGGAGGATCAGCTGAGACCTCAGTTGCAAATGCACTGTAGCTCAGCTTCTGCCATTGCCCAGTTCTGCCTCCCTTGCTCGCTTACCCACATATCTCCCGAGGGCACTCCTCTGCTGTCTGAGGGAGGCCGGGGTGGGACACTCTGCTTTGCACATACAGTTCCCGCTCAGGATCTGCTTCCGGGGAACCCCATCTGAGACACTTGGTCCAGACAACATGGGACAATGTGAGTTTCAATAAGGGTTTCAGTTCCCTATTGCTGAGTAACCAATCACCCCAAACCCAGTTGCTAAAAGTAACATGTTTCTTTTCTTTCTTTCTTTCTTTTTCGTTCTTTCTGTCTATCTTTCTTTCTTTCTTGTTTTCTTTTTTTCTTCTTTCTTTTTTTCTTTCCTTCCTTTTTTCTTTCTTTTTTTTTTTTTTTTTTTTTTTTTAGTTTTTATGTTCTGTGAAGTAGCCATGAGTACTGAATTAGCAAATACTGAACAACTGCTCCTCAGAGAAATACAGGAGTAGATTCCTGGGAGTCTTGCTGCACAACATTGTCACTGGGTGGTCAATATGTAGCTTTATTTTCTGTTTGTTTCTGGCTAAAGACACCTTATTTAATACACTCAGTTGATTCACTATTACTGAACTCAGGGCACACAGAAGTGTAATTTATACCCGTGCGAAGCTCACCTAACATATCTTTTCTCTGCGACGCACATCACAGCTGGAGTCCTTAGCGACCCGAGACAGCCCCTAAGCAATATGCTTGGGAATCATTTTATTTATTTTATTTTTTTGCTTGGGGATCATTTTAAACAGCAAAATCAGCAGCAAAAAGAAAAAAAAGCACAAAAATGGAAAAATATGGCACATGGTAGACTGGGAACAAGTGTTTACGCTATGAGAGCTGAAACTGGAAGGCATGGCGTCATCTTGTTGACCTCAGCTGAGAATGGTGCTCGTGTTGTTTCTGATGAGGTGTCTACTGTCACACTTCCCTGTGTTCCTCTTCACATTATTACTGGTTTGGAGCACCACTTGATTAGGTTGTGCTTCCGTCTAGCTTCATTTGTTTGGCATTCGTTGAGCTTCTGGGATCTCTGGGGTAATCGTTTTTTAAATTAAATTTGGAAAAATGTTTGACCATTCTTTCTTTTTTAAATTTATTTTTATTTTTTTAAAAGATTTTATTTATTTATTTGAGAGAGAGAGAATGAGAGACAGAGAGCACGAGAGGGAAGAGGGTCAGAGGGACAAGCAGACTCCCCGCCGAGCAGGGAGCCCGATGTGGGACTCGATCCCGGGACTCCAGGACCATGACCTGAGCCGAAGGCAGTCGCCTAACCAACTGAGCCACCCGGGCACCTGACCATTATTTCTTTAAATATTTTTGTCTCTCCCACGCAGCACCTCTCCCTTGTGGAAGTGCCACAAGCCCACGGTGTTATATTTTTTTATACTCCCTCTTCTCTCTGTGTTTCATTCTGGTAATTTTCTTTGTTTTTGTTGTCATGTCTTTAAGTTCATCCATCTCTTCCTTCCGCCATGTTTAACATAATGTTAATCCCAGCAGTCACTGTCTTTTTTTCATCTCACACATGGTAGTTTATATATCTAGAAGTTTGATTTGGGTCTTTTTACATCTTCAATATCTGTACTTAACTTTTGAGTACATATGTATAGCTTACAGTTATAATCGCTGTTTTAATGTTCTTGCCAGTGATTTTAACACCTGTGTCAGTTCTTTGGATTGATTGGCTATTCTCCACCTTATGCATTGTATCTTCATGCTCCTTGAGTGTTGGGTATTCTTTGACTGGATACCAGACACTGTGACTTTTACCTGGATGTTTGATATTTTCCTAGAAATTTTCTTGAGCTTTATTTGGAATGCAGCGAAATTACTTAGAAATGGATATTTTCATGGGCGCCTGGGTGGCTCAGTTGTTAAGCATCTGCCTTCGGCTCAGGTCATGGTCCCAAGGGTCCTGGGATCGAGCCCTGCATTGGGCTCCCTGTTCAGCAGGAAGCCTGCTTCTCCCTCTCCCACTCCCCCCTGCTTGTGTTCCTTCTCTTGCTGTATCTCTCTCTGTCAAGTAAATAAGTAAAATCTTAAAAAAAAAAAAAAGAAATGGATATTTTCAGGGCTCGCTTTAAAGATTTGTTAGACAGGACTGGAGCACTTCTCAGTCTAGGAACAATTATTTCCTGTTGCTGAAACAAGAACTTTTTTTTTTTTAAGATTTTTATTTGAGACAGAGAGAGAGTGCATGCATGAGCAGGGGGGATGGACAGAGGCAGAAGCAGACTCCCTGCTGAGCAGGGAGCCCAAGGCCGGACTTGGTGGGACTTGGTCCTGGGACTCTGGGATCATGACCTGAGCCTAAGGCAGACGCTTAGTGGACTGAGCCTCCTAGGCGGCCCGCCTGAGACAAGACTTCTCTGAACATGCTACCCAGGGCTCTGTGAATCTTGAGTTTTTCCAGTCTGGCTGCTGGAAACAGGCACTATTCCTGGGCCCCCCCGGTGAACACCGGGCATTGTTAATTCTAATCCTTTCAAGTGGTTATCTCTCTAGCTTCTGGTAGTTCCCCCCCACCCCCTCACTGATCACTACACTGGGGAGTACTCAAGGGGGAGCCTCTGCAGATCTCCAGAGTTCTCCCCGCCCCCCAGTGTTCTTTGCATAGCTGCCTGGGGTGCCCCCCCCACTTTTCAGCTTCACTTGATCACCTCAGGGAGCCTGTGACATTCTGCCAAGGTTCCCCTTCTCTGAACTGTGGCCTAGAAACTCTCTGAAGTCCACAAGCAGAGCCATGATAGGACTCATCCCATTTGGTTTCCATCTATTAGCAGTCCTGCCCTTTGTGGCCTGGTGTCCAGTGTCCTGAAAACTGTCGTTTCATATTTTTGCCCACCTTTGGTTGTTTAGGTGGGAAGGGCAATCCCTATTAGTCTATCTTGGCCGGAAGGACAAGTGAGCACATGCATTTAATAACATTCTTCTGTAATTAAAAGAAAAATATCTGTTATATCTTTAAGTTGCTTCCCTTTATTTATTCTGTATCTTTTTCTTTTATTCATTCTTCCTAGAATGTTGTCTCTTATTAAGGTTTTCAGAGAACAAAATTCTGATTGTGTTCATCTTCTTCATAATTTTGTCTCT